TTGATGGAAAATATTTAATTGAGTTAAATTAGATTTATACTTAATTAAAATTATAATTTGGATTAGGTCCGATTACCTATTGGGCTGTAGGATTTCCTAAGGCCCATATAATTAGGTTTAACTTGATTATAAATAGGTCATTATCTCATGGTAGTCTTTAACGATCATTAGATGAGAAAAAGAGATACGCCGTAAAACAAAAAAAACACTCTCTAGCTTTCTGGCTCGAAGATTCCTAGCTTCTTCACCGGAGAGGATTCATTGGCGTTGGATCGTGCATCGGGAAACTGGATTGCGTGGATACCATAGTCGAGGACATGACAAACAACGGTAAGTTTTCGTTGATCATTCACGCGATCTAGGATCACATCGAATAGCTATAGCCGGATCTTCGTTGTTGATAAGAAAAATTTTAAATTCCGCTGCGCGTGCGATTGATTCGTACGGTAAAAATCCAACAGTGGTATCAGAGCACTGGGTCGGTGTTCATAGCTATTTGATTTTAAATTGGATTTACATGGATCAAAATATTTGTTAATCATGTTAAGATAATTAATTTTGAATTAATTTTCATGATGTTCTTGGTTCTGTTCGTTCGTGAATATTTGGATGTGATTGTAAAATTCTGGGAATTGATGTTCACCAAATCTGGGAATTGGTTCGTCGTTTGAAACTTACAATTGGAATTTTTTCGTTTTGTTCTGTTTGTAAAATCTGTGAATTTGATTCCCAAACAACTTGTATAGTTTTGTTCCTTCGCGTTCGGACCTGCAACTGGGGTTTAGAATCCCTGTCGCTGTTAGCCATCGCTCATCATCTCCCTTCCCGCTGCCGGCGATAGGCGTTGTCGGGCTAGCCGCCGGAATTCGCGCGGCCAAGAGCCGCTGCCGCTGGGCGGCTGCTATAAAAAAAAAAAAATCTGGGAATCAGCGCCTTCGCGCGATTGTTGATGGCTCTCGTCGCCGGCGATCTAGGGTTGCTGCGATTAACGCCTGGAGGCGTAAAGCGAGTCTTCTTTTTCACTGGTTTCTCGGAAAACCGAGCTTGGAGCTCGAAGGTCCGCCATTAATGGCGGACGCATATTAAAAAAAAAAAAGGGAAGAAGGGAGGCCGACTGAAACGGCGGTTTGACCGGCCAAAGGAGGTCTCCGGCGGGTTCACGAGTTCCTGGGGATGCGCAGCCGGGCGTAGGACGCGAGATGGCGGCGGGCAAGGTTGAACTGACGGGAGAAACGAAATTAGGGCTGGGGCCTTGATTTCGAAAATTTGATTAAAGTAAAGGGCTGTTTTGCAATTTTCAGAAGTTTTCATTTATTGCAAATTGACCCCAGGGGTCAATCTGCAAATTCAAAAGTAGACCTGCGGTCTTTTCTGGTTTTTGAAACTTGTTGGGGCAATTCTGCGATTTTCGGAAAAAGGTTTAAAAACAGCACTTTGGCCCTTGGGGTCAATTTGTAATTTTTGAAAAATGCTAAGGCCTGTTTGGCTGTATACAAAGTTCAGAATTTTGAAAAAGTTGAGATAATTGGTATTTTACTTGTTTTAAATTTCTGAAAAATCTCTAAAATTGAAATTAA